TTAATAAGTGCTAATAAAAATACCTAAGCTGTCTTAATGAGGACCCATGAATGATGGCTCAGAACCTCTCCTTCCAAATCTAGTGTTCCTTGATTCTTATAGTCTCATTCCCCATCCCACTAAGAAAAGTATGTCTAGGCATTTTCATGTGCAGATGCCAGGAAAGCTGAGAGATTTTTTTTTAGTCAGATATTTTGTACAAATTACACAGGCTACATGGGAAGAGAAGAGACAGTAAATAGCGCAAGCAAAAGGTTCAAGATGAGGCTACATACAACCTTGAAGAAACTATGGCAACCTGACCTTTTTCCAGTGTCAAGAGACAAGTTACAGTTTTAGAAATGGAAGATATCTATGAGATCCTGCTCATGCCTTTTATTTAAAGATTTATTTATTTATTCAAGATTTATTTATTCACTTTAGCAAGAAAGAACGTGAGCATTGGGAAGGTCAGAGGGAGAGGGAGAGAGAAACTTTAGCAGATACTCACTGAGTGCAGAGCATGATTCGGGGCTTCATCTCATGACCTGGAGATCATGACCTGAGCCGAAACTGAGTCGGGAATTTATTTATTTATTTATTTTTTAAAGATTTTATTTATTTATTTGACAGAGATCACAAGTAGGCAGAGAGGCAGGCAGAGAAAGAGAGAAAGGGAAGCAGGCTCCCTGCCGAGCAGAGCCTGATGCGGGGCTCGATCCCAGGACCCTGAGATCATGACCTGAGCTGAAGGCAGAGGCCTAACCCACTGAGCCACCCAGGCACCCCTGAGTCGGGCATTTAAACAACTGTGCCACCCAGGTGCCCCTATGCCTTTGATTTATGGGAAAATAGGCCTTAGGGAGTTTTGGTGACTCACTCAAGGTCATATACCTGGTTGGCAGTACAGTTAGAATAGAGTCTGGGTCTCTTGGTTCCAAGAGCTCTTTCAATTATACTACAAAACATCTTTATTCCTGTCAAAACTTAAAAATAAACCACTCAGATGAAAATCTTTCTAAACTGGTTTACACAATTCCTATTTTTATATACAAAATATAATTAACATTGTCTGAGAGTCAAGGTCACTACTATGAAGATCAAGGATGTCAATTCTATAATACAGAGTATGAATGCTGATTTCACAGAGTATAGTACAGGCTGGGGATATGACAACTGCTTCTGTGGATTTCTGGGGATTCACTCTACTCATATTTCTCACTGCCCTCAGTGTCTCTGCTCCAACTATCATCCTCTTCCAACCACCTTCTAATTCTAATTTTAAACTCATGTTTTCTAAAGTCTATTCTCTAAAGTAATATGAAATACAGTCAAATGCCCACCATATCCATTGCAGCATTATTCATTATAGCAGAAACAAAATCCAAAACCATAAACGTCCAACATAGTAGATGAACATTTAGTGAGCAGTACTTTCAAGAACAGAGTATTGTGCCACTATTATCTTCACCTAAAGAAGTTTTAATGAAATGAGGAAGCATTTACATACTAATGTTAAGTGAAGAAAGCAGAATATAAAACCACAGAATATCAATCATATTATAAAAATGCTTTGATGAGAAATACACCAAAATGTTTACAATGGTGGGATTATTTATAATTACTATCCTCTTACACCATGCTGTCTACTTATCTCTTTGTCTGAGAAGGTAGAAAAAGAATTTTAAAAAAGAAAATATCACATTGCAAAAATGTAACCTAATTGATCAGAACAATATAAAAAAAATATATAGATTCTAGGTGAGAATCTGAAGCCTCTGTTGTATGAGCTTGTCCATGAATTCAGCAACATGGGATGGTTGCAGGTGACGTTTCCTTACTTCCCATTCCTTTGCTAAATTTCAGGTATGTCAGGTTGCCAGATATTTGAACTGTGGGTGAGTAAAGCATTAAGGTATGTATACTTAAAGGAAAAGAGAGAATGCTGAGAAGAAAAGACTAAGAAAGAGGAGGGAGGGAGAAAAGGTTCTAAGCCAATGCTTCCAGACAAGCATCTAAGGATTTTTTTCATTAATTGGTTTTCAGAAGTTTAGAAGCCACAGATGGTGGCAACTGTCATTAAGTCACTCAGACTGATTTATCAGTGGATGAGCATTAAAGACAAATTAACCTCTCTAGAGACCAGGCTAGTGTCCAATTATCAATTAACTACTTCCTCAAACCAGGAGAGCGGAATGTGAGAACATCAAAGCCGCGATAGCATGAGAAGCTAAGCAGTTGAAGCAGATGAGTGTCTTCATATAGGATGTTTATACCTGAAAGTATTGGAGATATATATCTATATCTATATAAGATAAAAGATATATGTATATATTTTTACCAATTTTACCAATTTTCTATCCCAATTCTTTTGTAATATGATGAAATATTTTCCTGTTAAATAGCAATATCTTTTTCATATTTTCTTTTCTTTCTTTAAATGAAATCTTTGTTACATGCATAATGGAGGAGGCAGTATGACCTTTTGATCTGACAACACACAGTGACACTCATTATTCATATACATATACTCAGCCTCCATAAGATGTGTCACCTCATACAGGAATGACCAAGGGCAAACTGAGCCCAGAGTAGGAGGTTTAACAAATAGATGTTGCCTGACTTCTCAAAGCGTCTGAAGATCATTTTTTTAAAATTTCATTTTCTAAAACTTTCCCTTTGCCTTCATGAACATTATATGCCAAGAAAACACTCTTAAGAGTATTTTATACTGGTCTGAGGGACAGACAAGATCCAGATCTGTTCTCATTCAACATTAGCAGCATTTGCAATATGATTTCTAAGGACTTCCCAAAACCTATGTTTTATTATAACAACCCTGTGAGCTATTATTAGCCCCACTTCACAGACGCAGAAAGAGAGGCTCTAACAGATAAATTTGCTAAAGACCATACTAGTATTGAGCTAGAGGAACAGTCCCCCAATTTAGATCCCTAGCTCCCAATCCTGTATTCTTTCCACTGCTTCACACTGCAGGCTTTACCGATAACTTCCAAGCCAAAGTATTTGCCCCTAGAGTCCACGTACAAGGGCACCTCAGCAGATTAGTAACTGCTTAACAATAGGGCAGGTTGAGTGGAAAATTATCCCCGAAGTTATAACTGAGTGGGAAGCGGTTGAGGCTGATGTTCATTGCCACCTTTGTGTCCACTTGGGCCCCCCGCATCCACGCAGACTTTGTCTCTCTTCTCTTCACAAAACCATGTTCATCATTTGTCCTTCAGATTTAAACAAGGCTGGCCCCAGATGAAAATCTGAGGCACTTTCACTATTCCTTTACTCCACATCCCTCAGCTTAACTCTGACAGCTCGTAGCTATGATGGAACGTGCCTAAGCCCCAGTTCCTCAGGAATTTTTTCCCCACAAGTCGTACACAGATGCTTTAACTCCCCAGCTAAGCTTTAAGTAAGATCTGTGTTTTTTACATCTCAGATTCCTCACCACCTTTTCGACACTCTCCCCTCTCCCCTGACTTCCGACTGCCTAGGATATAGGATATTGTTGTGCATTCAACAATGCCTTCTGAAGGAATGAGAGCCTGCGTGAGTGTGGGGGGAAAGCCCAGCTTGATTCATAATTAGGAAGTTGGAGTCCCAGCTCTACATGGAAATGTGTGTGATTTCAGGCAGATCCTGGTTTTCTCATCATAAAATGGTTGTGGTAACAGGAAGTAGGTGGACTATATGAGTTCTATGATTGCTAAGATACTATGAATACTTATATTATTTTGATTGGGCTGTTCACAGCCTCACTTTTGTTCATTAGGGATAAGAAAGGAGATAAATTCGAATTCCAAAGAAAAGAATGTTAAGACAAATACAGAGATCAAATAACTAACCATGTAACAGGCAGAAGGAAGTCAATGTGTCTAGAAAATTAATAAGCAAAGGAGAACAAGAGGAGTAGAGAAGTCTCGGGCTAGAAGTGTGCATGCTGTCTGACAGGAATGTAAAGGTCTTGGAGGGTGGAATGTAAATGGGAACAGATCGGTAACTAGAAAATTGCTGTAGTGCTTAGGCATATGCAGTGAGATGTTTGCTTTTTTAAATTTGCTCTTCTGTTTGCTCCCCAAGCTTTAAATCAAATGTTAAGAATGTCAGCACAGAGACTGCTGAGATCATGAGGAAGAAAATAAAATGCAAACCAACAACTTCCTTGTGCAAATGAAGACAGAAGTTCCTGGTATTAAAATGGGGATTGATATTACCAACATCTGACCATTAGCAGCCTATTTTCCTCCATTTGCGGGGAGGAAGGGGTAAGTAATGACAATTTTAACCAGGCTATTTCTCCATAGTTTAATTTTATTAAAGATTTTTAAATTCCAAGTAATACTGTACTGGTTTCACTAAAATTGGGGTTTAGCTGGCAGACCTTGTAATAGATCAAAATGGTGTTATAAGGAGGTCTGTCCATGCCTTCATTAGAAACTCCCTTAGATGGGATGAACAAAGTCTCCAATGGGGCATTAGGGGTAAGAATTCATCTGAAGAGCTAAACCAAAAGAAAGTCAGGTTCAGCTTGAAACTTCAAAGGAAAAAAAAAATGGTACCTCTTTAGAAAAGAAAAATCTCTGAAATTAAAAAATAATACCTGAAGTAACAATTGTGGGATTATCAGATGTAGGAGTGTTTAGTTGGTTTCCAAACCTGAAGTGACACTTTTAACGACTAAAGCAATAAGAGCACATGGTTCATAAAAGGCCAGAAAAACTCCATTAAAAAAAGAGCAAAAGTTTTAAAGGGATTTGATTTAAGAGCCATTTTTAGAAGCCTCTTGATGAAATTTTTGATACTAAAACTGCAGAAAAGAAACTTAACTGTTAATCCATGTTATATAACTTTGAATCCAGTCTGCCCTTCATCTTCTACCTCAGAAGTGGACCTAAATTTAACCAAAGTCTATAAAGACATTTCTTCAGGGAGAAATAGTGTGTGTGCACGTGCGTGCATGTGCGTGTGTGTGTGTGTGTGTGTGTGTGTGTTAAAGACAAACATACCTGCTTCATCATAGGATACAGTCAATTTTTCTAGCATTTCTCGGTCAATTGACAGAATCTGCTGTTCAAGGATGGTCTGGTAAGACAGAACACTATTTTCTTTGTCCTTCTCGTAGTCCTGAAGATGTTGTTTAAGGGCTTCTGGGAGTCTCGATTTTACATATTCAGCTGCAGTCTGCAGTTAAAACAGGTAGAGAACCCCATTAATTTTTCTCATCTTAGGCTTTTCACTTCCCCTCATGGGCTGCAGTGAAAACTCAAAGCACCGTGAAACGAACCCTTTAGACAAGCATATCCTTGTCATCGTCATTATTAGACTCCACTCTACCAAGTCAGATGAATCTTCACATAGACAACTCACAGACCTGTAAGAATTTTCCACCAGGTTTAAAGGTACGAAAGATGACGGATTTGGTTTGGTATACAAAGAGTTAATACTCAGAGTTTCAGCTATTCCACTGAACTCTGAGGGCCCCATGACAGTAATTTTGCTGGCTATAAATCTGCCTTGCCCTTGTCTAGAATGCAGAAACCTGTCATTCATCCCCGCAGTGAGCCCACCTATGCTATGGCGTCCACATCCCTGCTTTGATGTTCTGTGCTCATTAATGCTTCCACACGAACTCTTGTGAATAGAAAGGAGAGTCCTCTGCTGGGGCTGATAATGGAATAACGGGATATATAGAGAATGAAGAGATCTAAGACAATGATGCCCCTTAATCTGAAAAAGAACTGTTCACCAATGTCTTGGTCTTTACATATATATACGAGATACATATATCATATATAGATATATATATAGATATATATCTATATATATATATATATAATGCTTAACTTGTTTTTTTCTCTGCTACGCAATCCACCCAAAGCACTCCTAACTAATAATCTCTGAAATTACATGCAATGATTTTTCAACCAGGTGAGCATGCTTCCATATGAGGCAGGAAGGAAGGCATGTGTACTTCGAAAAAGGCCTCCTCAGAGAATCTGACAGGCTCTGCTGGTGGGCTGTGGAAAGCGTACTCCCCTGCCTCCCAATTGAGAATCACAGTTCAAAGTTAAACAGAACTTTGAGAGAGAAATTAAGTGACACAGAGGCATGGATGAATCAGAGGAATTCTGAAATTCTTAAAACATCTCTTTTAAGAATGCCAAGAGTTTGGCATCCCCTTGAGTGCAGTCCAGCATCATACACATAGGGTCTGAAGTTGATGAAATAAAGGCATACATATATTACTTAAAATTATACTCACAATGACCGGAAAATGTAATAAAATGTAATGAAAAGGAAAATGTAAATAAAAGCACTGTTAAAAAGGACCACTGTTGGGGTGCCTGGGTGGCTCAGTGGGTTAAAGCCTCTGCCTTCAGCTCAGGTCATGATCCCAGGGTCCTGGGATCGAGCCCTGCATTGGGCTCTCTGCTCAGCAGGGAGCCTGCTTCCCCCTCTCTCTCTGCCTCCCTCTCTGTCTGACTTGTGATCTCTGTCTGACTTGTGATCTCTGTGAAATAAATAGATAAAATCTTAAAAAAAAAAAAAAAGGACCACTGTTTAACTATGTACCTAGAAGGCCCATCCAGGTGGTTTAATATTAAAAAAAAAATCCTGTACAGCTATTAATTGCATAATCTAAAACAAGTTCGAGTTAAACACACACACAGCCACATATCCAGTAAATGCTCATCAACAGGGGTTTGTTTTGTTTTGTTTTCATTTATCAAACAGTATGCTCTATAACCTTTGGGAAAAAATGAGATAGGTCAATATGTACCTACAAGGAAGAATGTCATGGTATTACTGTTAAGGTTAAAAAACAAAGTCACAGAATACCAGTGACAGTATATCCTTTTTATGTAAAGCATACATATATGTGTATGTCGGACTCCATAATATCATATGTGTGGGAGAAGATATTGAGGGCTATATTCCAATTGCAGAACATACTCACTTTTTACTCTCCACATTTCTGTACTGTTTCAGTGCTCTTACTATTGCAATTTTTTTTTAAGATTTTTTCATTTATTCATTTGAAAGAAAGAGAGCATGAGCAGGGGAGAGAGGCAGAGGCAGAGAGGAAAGTAGACTCCCCGCTGAGCAGGGAGCCTAATATGGGGCCATCCCAGGACCCTGGGATCACAATCTGAACCAAAGGCAGACACCTAACGATCTGAGCCACCCAGGCGCTGCACTACTGCAATTTTTAAGAATTATCTTTAATTTTTTTTTTGTAACCTTCATTGTTTTCCTCTTAAATGTTAGCGTAATTTAAGATGAAGAGAAGCTTGCCAGAACAATGGACAATGGACTTTCCAGGAAAAGTCTACTGGGAAATGGTGGGGAAAGGTTACAGATCAGTCCTCAGAGTGGTCAAATGCAGCACACAACACTTTTTATTTCCAGGTTTACATTTAGATTCCATAAGTCAGTTGTTGATGGAATTACAATTTTTTTTTAAAGATTTTATTTATTTATTTGACAGAGAGAGATCACAAGTAGACAGAGAGGCAGGCAGAGAGAGAGAGAGAGAGAGAGAGGGAAGCAAGCTCCCCGCTGAGCAGAGAGCCCGATGCGGGACTCGATCCCAGGACCCTGAGATCATGACCTGAGCCGAAGGCAGCGGCTTAACCCACTGAGCCACCCAGGCGCCCTGGAATTACAATTTTAAAATAACACCAAACATTGTTCAATTTCTCTGCCAGCCAGCTAGTGCAGAACAAATAAAATTATTCCATAAAATGTAAATGGACTCAGCACATTAGCACAGCATATTTAATTCTAGAATTTAAAAACAATTTTCTCCCGACACTGGAAAATGAAGAGACACGTTGCCAAATAACTATTTTTAGACTCCTACTACCTTACTATTCAGTGTAACATCTGTCTGTAATTTTTTTTTCCTTGGAGATAATCTATGAGGTACCAGAAGTAATTTAAAATGCACATTTTACAAATATTGGTATACTCTCTATTATTGAAAGCATACACATTTCCTTCCAAGTGTGTCTACTGATTCACTTTTATAATTAAAATCATCACACACACACACACACACACACACACACACACATACATATATGTGTGTATATATACATATATATATATTTTGTACTATATTGGAGTTATATTTTGGCATTTCATTTTTTTTAAGATTTTATTTATTTTGGAGAAAGAGAGAGCAGGAGGAGGAGCAGAGGAAGAGGGACAAGCAGGCTTTGCACTGAGCGCAGAGCTAGATGTGGGCTCGATCTCACAACCCTGAGATCATGACCTGAAACCAAGAGTTGATGCTTAACCAACTGAGCCACCCAGGCGACCTGCCATTTCATTTCTAAACGGTATAACTTCATGTATAGAGTTCTTTCTGTTGGAAAGAGTCTCAACAGGAACAGAAAGAAAGCAACTCTAGCAAAATACTAGATTCTGTCAAGATATTTCAAGAAATCACCTTTATATGGAGGTGATGCCTTAGATGTATACAAACGGCAGTTAAAACCTTATGTTCAAGCATGAACCTGTATTAAAAAGAGGCTGTCTTACAAATACCATATGATCTCACTTATATATGCAATCTGAAGCCAAATAAAACAAAACTGAATGCATAGATGCTGAGAACAGACTGGTGGGGTGGGGGTGGGAAAAAAGGTAAAGGTTATCAAAAGGTACAAACTTCCAGTTATAAAATAAATAGTTATGGGGATATAATGTTTTGCATGGTGGCTACAGTTGATAATACTGTATTGTATATTTGAAAGTTGCTAAGAGAACAGATCTTAAAGATTCTTACCACAAGAAAAGAAACTGAAATTTTGTGTGGTGGCAGATGTTAATTAGGCTTATTGTGGGTGATCAGTTCATAATATATACAAATATCAAATCATTATGTTGTATACCTTAATTATAATACCTATAATTATACCTTAATACAAAACCAGGTTGTCATCTTATTAACTGAGATTATAATTACTCCACAAGTAATAGATAATACAAAGAAAAATTTAAATTTAAATTTTTCACTGGAATTCTAAAAGAGTAAAAAATAGAAATTAAAATTTAAAATTACTTATCTATTCTTTAATCAATGAGAAGTACTACTGGAAGTTTAAATCTTAAATTGCACATTCTTATAATCAACCATTCCAGAAACAATAATATTGTTACCATTATCAGTATTTTGCATTTGTGTGGTACTTTTTACTTTTCCCAGCAATTTATGTTATTACTATTCTGTTTGTTCAGAATAACTCTGAATTAAAGTAGACAACTCACTGGTTGGGCCAGTCCCTCACATCCTTCAAAATTTGGCTCAAATGCTACAAATTCTGTTAGTGAACACACCTAAGAGCAGCCAACAGTCTTTCAAGTGTTTATACAGGCATTTGTATAGGTGCAAGTATTTTAATTCCCCAGTTCAGCTGCCATAAGAACTATATCTTATACATCCTTGAGTTTGCCCATTATCTATTTCAGTGCTTTGCACCGAAGAATTTAATATCTCGACTCTATCCAAGAATCGGGTACTTTGAGATAGCCTTTGGAGAAAATCTTCTGACAGTTTATAATTCTTTGCCTGCTATCTGAAATTGCTTTCATGATTCTAGATAGAGCCTAGGAGCCATTTTCCACTGGCAAATGGTACTTAACTACACTTACTCTTTAATTATCATCAGTGCCATTTATTTTAGGAAAGCAAACTCTTAAACCCAAATCATTATTTACATGCCAAAATAGCAAATTATGTACTTCACATACAAAGCCATGTATGAAGCTTTATTTAATGTTCCTCTTAATAATTGTTTGATCTTCTCCCTCCTTGTGTTTTTTCATCCATTTGGCAATGGCCTTGCTCCCGCTAGGGACCCTCAGAGGAGTCATGTGGACCGTACCTCAGAACTGGGCCCCTTAGTTATGGGTAAGCTCAAGTCTGTGCTGGTGCCGGGTGTGGCAGAGACGCCTCAGGGCAGAGAGTGGAGGACGTGTAGTTCCAAGGTTACACCTGAGCAGATGGTTAACAGCTGGAAAAATGAACTAAAAGCTTGTGAGGCAGGACACAAAAGGTTCCCAGCCAGTGTACCTTCTTACAGAAGTTGTATACACGCCAAGTTCAGTCTGGAAGACAGTAACAGGCCAGTGCAGACCCTGTAAAAAATACTCAAAAGGATAAAAGAAAAGCA